CTGCATATTAAATCAATGAATTTGATTTGTAACTGTAACTTTCTTAAGAATAAAGGCACATTTTCAACAGTCCCACCAAAGGGATTCAATTTTCAAACTTAATCTACGAAAATTGAATCAGAACTACTATTAAAGTTATTTAGACTAAGCAACTAGAGATAAATCCCTTAGATCAACGAGAGAACGTGTAAACAGTAACATCAACAAGCCTTACATTAGAGCCCACAAGAATAAACTTACATTAGATATAACTTATAACGCAGTATAATTTAGAAAGTACACTGAAAAATATTGGCAATCAAGATAACTATAATTATTCCTTAACCAAAGTTATAGCCTTATAGGTTACCTCAATATTTTCACCTACAGAACAATTGTCTAAAATGTTTCAAATTAAATTTTTGTCGCACAAAGCCGCTGTCTTCAAGCGACTCAGGTTAGCGGCTTTACGACGGGGCCGCGAACGATCCGTTACCTCTATTTCCGGTCCCCCTGAGCATGGGTCGCTGGTTCCGCCGGCAGTCGACGTCACCATATGGGACGCTGACAGTAGCGGGATGAGAGACGTAACGTGACGACGTACGGTGCCGCCGTTGCCCTTCAGGAGTACAGCTTCAGTCACCTCACCCAGATGATTGGAGACTATGTCTCTAACCCGACCCATGGCGTAATTATATCTCTTCTGATGAGGTTCTTTGAGTAAGACCAGGTCACCCACCTGCAGGACCCGGTGCGCAACTGGACGAAATCTGTCCCTCTTGTTCGTTGCTTGCGTGATTAAATTGGGCAAGATTTGCTCATTATACTTTTCCACCAGCCTCTTCCTGACCGAAAGCAGACTAGTAAAGCCTTTGCGTACCTTCTCAACTTCGTCAGGCGACGATGTCCAGTCTGGATCCTCCTGACTCTCGCTTGTCTGTGGTAGCACAAGAGGAGAATTCAGAACATAGCCTTTTAAGAGCATCTCTGGGGTGATTGGGACAGGCAGTGTCGAGTCGGGACTCGAGTCTCGGAGGGCTTCCTTGAAGGCCACCGGCCTTTTGTTGAGCAAGCTCACAGTCTGGGCAACCACTAAATCGAAATCGATAAGATCCAGCACAGTGTTTCTGATGGCACCGTATAACAGACGTTTTGTCAATTTGACACATGACTCCACCAGAGAGCCCATCGCACTGCACCCCTTGGGATATTGTTGGAAGGTGGTTTTTTCTATGGCATTTTCTTCGTAATAGGATTCCACCTCCGGTTCCCTCAAAATGTCGGCGACGATTCTAGATCCCGCGATTAGCTGAGATCCCGAGTCCGATAACACCAGCTGGGGCAAGCCAAACGCAAATACGTGTTTCTGAAATGCTCTGAGAAATTCTTTGACTGACAAATCATGGGATAATTCGAGATTTATGGCTCGACTCCAGAGGCATGTTAAACACAAAATCCACACTTTGCTTTTGTTTCCATTGGACCGTACGTAGAATGGTCCAAGGAAATCAATGAAACAATGATTAAATGGAATTTCGACGGGCTTTGCTCTGAAGTCTCGGTACGAAGATTGATTGAGCTTAATTGTGCGCGCGTTTAATCTACGGCACGTGACGCAGTTCTTCAGCACTTTCCTCGCGGTTGAAAAATGACTTTGGACATAGAACTGTTTACGGAATTCCAGCAGTGTCGAATATATGCCTGCATGAGACATCTTCCTGTGGATGTCGTTTATTATTAGTTCCGTGAGCCTACTGTTTTTAGCCAGCAATATTGGACGACCGTACTTAGAGTGTTGGCTCCATCTTTCAAACTTGCTCTGAACTCTGAGTAATCCGCTCTCGTCCAGACAAACGTTCAGCTGTAGCATCATTTTGGGCACACTCTTTAGAGTTTTGCGTTTGGATTGCAGGAATTCGTAGCATTCGGGAAAATGTTTTCTTTGATCAGCAAGTATGATTTTTTGACATGCTACTGCGAAAAGGTTCTTTTTCTCTGAATCATCTCCGGCAGGGGAAGCTGTTCCGAGATATGGACCGCCTCTTGTCCTTTCCTTCAGATTGTTCACGAATCTCAGCACGAGGCTGAGCACACGAGCCATGCGATGAAAACTGGAGTACTTCGATGATGGGATCAGCTGTTCAATGCTGCCGATTGTTTCTGCTTGTGCACTGCCGGTCTCGACTGAGGTGCGTGACGGTACGTCCGTCACCCCGAGGGAGGGAACGGTGAAACAGAGCAAGTTATCCGCTTCCACCTCTTTTTGTCGGTGAATCGAGAGGAACTCGGGCCCAGAATGGTAATGACTGCGTTTCAGCTGCCGGTAGCTTAACGCTCGTGTGATGCAGTCTGCAGGATTCTCAGAGCTTGATTGTGTGTCAGAGTCCGGGGTTGCTGCGGTTCCTGTTCGCAGAGGTTCGACAAGAACACCACCCTGCATTTTGTGCTCTCCCGGCTGAGTTTGAAGACTCCCATGTGTGGGAGGAAGCTATACGCACCTTTACCGTGAGTGACGGTTGAGAGATCCTCAATGGGCTCGACAATACCTTCCCTCACTTGGTCTCTGATCACGTTGTCGTACATTGCTAGAAGATCTGTTCTCTTCTGCAATTTTTTCAGGTTCGAATTGAGTATTTGTTTGGATAAACTGCGGTTTTTTCCCAGTAGGTGAGAAACGTCGTTATTCCACAACAACGGCATCTCCAGTCTTCCTTCGGCATTACGCTTACAATTCCTAAGGAGGAATTCAGTATGTTCCTGATCTTGCTCAACAGTTTGTTCCTCGTAACGGCCATCTTCGTAGGAGAGCGTATTGAAAACTTCAGCCCGTAGGATATCTTCCGTAGCACGGTCGAGGGTGTACTGGTCGATTGCAGCCACATCGTTGATGCAGGCTCCAAGATTACGGTCCAGCTCACTTCGGACAGCGTCCTGTCCATCCAACTGTTCGGGGCTTCGGCTGGTCATGTTTTCCGATGTGGTTGCGTCTTGCCCTTCCTGTTCACTCTGTTTGGAAACCGTACTGATGGACAAAGCAACTTCGGCGGCAGGAGCCGCTAAGTCTTGCAGGTTACTCATCATTCGTCGGACACTCCCGCTCAACAGAGCTCCTAGAGGGGACAGAGATATTACAGATTTGGGTTGGTCCCCGAAACTCAGATCTTTTAGAGGAAGGACTTGCGAATCTAGGTTCCCTAAAATGAAATCAAGGTTTGTGATCCGATCTTGTGAGCTGATCAAGGCTGAATCGGCTAACTTGTAGCCTTTTTCTTGAACTAATAGGGCCAGTTTACTCAGGCCCGGCAACCGTAAATTTGTTTTAATTTCCGGAACGCAGAACGCTCTCAGCGGAGGTTGATATGGATCAATTTCAATTTCAACAATTTTGGTGAGATACTCTTCCGATGTGTTGAATCCATTTACCCTAAGAGAGAAATTATGTTCGAGAACTGGCAGCGACAATCTGGCCGCGCAGCTCTCGGTGACGAAGTTTGGCTGACAGCCGCTGTCCCTCATGCCTCTGAGGGGACCGCGAGATGTCATAATCAAGAAGGTGGGGATTATTGCATCTTCTCCGTAGTCCACATCCCTCGTCACGAACGCCTTACTGATAGCAACGACCCCAGAGTTAACTTCTTTCTCCGGTTTCTTGCGACCATCGGGCTGTGGGTCAGACCGATTCTTCGACTCATCCATACACAGGAAAGTATAATGAGGTTGTGAGCACTTGAAGCATTTCTTCTTGAATTTATAGTGACACGTTTTAGTCGTATGGGCCACGTTAGCGCATTTTGTGCAACCGTTTAGTGCAATCAGCCTGTCACGTTTTGCTTTAGCATTCGGATAAACGTGGCAGTTGAATGTGGAGTGCGAGGTCACACGCGCACCCCGCCCTGAGCAGAGACTGCAAAAGGGTTGTCTCTTGTCTGGTTCAGTCCTCTCAGGTCGCCTCACATCCACCGCAAAGCTAGTACCAGCGACATTTTTCACGGGCTTAATCTTCGGATTGGCATTCAAGTACCTTTCGGTGGCATCATACACATGCTCCATCATCTCTTCAAGTGAGGGTTTATTTTTGTTAGTTATGTGTATGAATTGCTGTTGGAAGTCGTCGTTGAGGCCTCGCCAGAAAAAATACTGGAGGACAGTATTGGTGTCAATGGACAACGTAGTGAAACTTTCAACCAAGGAACGCATCTGACCAATATATCGATAAGGATCATCGCCCCTAACGAGTCTCATTTCCGACAAACGCCGGATCGCGTCATATTTCTGCGTTATTGGAGAAGCAAATGCTTTCTGTAGCAGATCTTTAGCATCTTCGTAGTTTTGCTTTCCCACCTCCAAGGACTGAATTAAAATTTGTGGCGCACCTCTAAGTTGTTTTTGCAGGAAGATGAACTTTTCGTAGCTGGTCAAGTTGTATTTGCCAATTACGTTTTCGAAGTTGAGGAAAAACTTGTTCAAGTCTTCTCCCTCTTGGTGTCCATACTCCGGTAACGGGAGCTGGGGTAGCTTTAATTGACTTCGGTGCACATCTTCTCGCGCGGTGCTCACTGCGGACGCCGATCTCTCCGTTTGTAGAGACGCTTCCAGCGCTGTAATCGTAGCGATAAGCTTCCGAGAATATTCGGCACAGGTGTCGTACTCCGCCTGTAGTGCTGCCTCTGCATTCTCTTCCACGAATAAACTTTCAGATATTTTTAGATCAAAATCCTTCAAGTCCGACTGCAAAGCGCGCAACCTAGCTAGATTTTGCACTTTTTCTGCGATGGAAAGATTTGGCAGGTTTACATTAATACTGTTTGAGGTACGCGTTATTTCGGCCCGCATGTACTTGCGGTTGTTCTTCAAGAACTTCACGTCCATCGCTGCAAGGAAAGTAGACTTCAGGAAATTTGTTTCAGATCAAGCCTTTCAAGTCCCTCTGTGACCGGAAAGTACGAGTGGTTAAATAAGCTATGAGAATACACGATTAAGAAGCAATTGTAAGGCAGTAGCGAAACCAGCAAGATTAGACCACAAATTATGGTGATAGTTACATCAGTAAACGACAAATGCGCAAATAATCTGAACAATCAGAAACAAGGAAATTACGCAGCGAATATATTCGAGTACACAGTTATGAGAAAAACGGAGTGAGCGACGGCGGCGGGTGGCTTACGGCCACACTACGGCTCGGCGGCTACGGCAACTAATTGCATGAAGTACGTCTCGGCAACACAAACACCACGGCAAACTAACCCCACTTGCCCCACGTTGGGCGCCATTTCGAAAACTATGGCGGGTGGCGGATGGTCGGGGAGAGCGCCACCGACGGGCTTAACCCGTTGTCTTCTCCGACCGCCAGTTTCGCAACAGTTTCATTCATCCGTATAAATAAAATATTCTTTGAATTGAAGCTTAATTTATCCCCCACTCGCCATAGTTTTCGAAAGCAGATTAATCCGTTGGATGTGCCAAGCGCTACTCTGTGGCGCGCCATCAACGTCATGTGTCGGCCTGTCAACAGAGAATACAGCTCATGTACCCGAACTCAAAAGCATTACAAGATATTCAAATCGATGTGAAAATTAATGTAGAGTCTAGTCGAAACTTTGAAATAAGCTCCAAATCTTCTGTGGGGTTAAACCCTCTACCGTCGTATGTCAACGCAAGTAAGTAATGTTCACTCCTTGCACATAACTTTCAAGTTAAATTATACGTAAACTATTGACTATAGCAACCGGAGAACAGTTGTCAGCTGCAGAGAACATCCTAAAATTGTACACAGCAGCAACCATCAGTGCAAGTCATTTCGCACTCACTAGCAACGTATCCTTTAGGAAGGAAGGCTTGTGACAATATTGCTCCGGTTTGTCATCCTCGGCATATCATGGACGAAAACTACGGTGAGCTACAGTGCCTGCTGTTTTTTTATACGCTGTTCTTATGCATCAAGGACATGTTTGATATCTTTTGTTTCTTCTCCAACTCTACAATGAACTAATTATTTACGGTTTATTGTATGTCACTGCGAGAGAACACCAGGCACTTCACTGTACTTATTGTCTGTCACTGAGAGAACAACCATCAGGAGATTGTATTGTATGACATTTATGCAAAACAATATGATATATGCCTTCATTTGCACTTGAATTTATCATTTCTAAATGATAACGGTTTTTTCTTAACTGTATCTTTCTCTTATCTATTGAAGAAAAATGTACAATATTCTAGAGATGCAAGTAAAACATATAGGCTAGTAGCTCAATACGACAAGCTTCAATTGACAAAATTGAGCTGAATCCTAGCGCTGGTCCAGCCTACCGTCAGGAGAAGGGAAGAGGCGAGTGCACAACCGCACCACGTCGGCCTCCATTCTGGCAGGCAGCAAAACCACCAACGGCCCGCCCACCACCAGCACCCTGCAGCACAACCATCAAAAGCTTTATCAACCACACAATATTATTCACATCCTGCCACGAACATTAGAACATTCACTGTTATCTTGACGAACTTGAAATATTAATAAAAAAAATTCGTAACCCCATGGGGATTAGGAGGTCTTTGAAGGAGCAACAGTTTAGTATTAAAATTAAAATTGGGATTCAAAAACTGCATTTTTAGGAAGAATTGCGAGCTATTCGATTGTTTTAACGTGAGGTCATCTTTTTATGGGCGTTGACAATTCAGAGGGACCTGACAATCTAGTTATCCATGATCAAACTATAACAAATCCCGTGAACTTTGATGTCGTCACCCCGAATAGCATCAATCCTAATGCCACTATTCATAATTATGTGATGCCGCTATTCATAATTATGTACCTGTTAATACGATGTCCATTAATAATTTTAAAACTAAGCTAAAGCCCTTTCTAACACACAATGAATATCGAGCTATTTCTTATCTTCCGTTATGAATTAATTTTTGAGACTAATCTATTTAAAAAAACTAATGAATCTATGTTTGAGTACATGCACTCAACTATTTTGTCAACATCTTACTTTTTCCAGTAAAGGCACCGAAACATGTAGAAGCACTGCGCGCGCGTATTTGAAATGCTTCTCGTGTCAAGATGGTTGGATCAAAAATTATATTTGTTTTTAAACTGGTATAAGTAATTAAATATAAAAACGGATAACGAGACATGGTCGTTTTTGTATTTTAAAGCAGGAGTCGAGTGTGAGTTCCATGTTGACTCTGGCATCAAACAAAAGATAAAGTAGGGACCAATCAATTTGTTTTTGGTCAAATGAAGGGTTGTCAGGTAATGCAGGTCATCAACATCGTCAACAAGCTGTGTTATCGCCCTGAGTTAAACGTGTACCTATATCAGACTTGCTCCTACACCAAGACTGGCTTGTACAACAAGACTTGCTCCTACACCAAGACTTGTTTGTACAACAAGACTTGCTCCTACGCTAAGACTTGCTCCTACGCTAAGACTTGCTCCTACACTAAGACTTGCTCCTATGCTAAGACTTGCTCCTATGCTAAGACTTGCTCCTACACCAAGACTTGCTCCTATGCTAAGACTTGCTCCTATGCTAAGACTTGCTCCTATGCCAAGACTTGCTCTTACGCTAAGACTTGCTCCTACGCCAAGACTTGCTCTTACGCTAAGACTTGCTCCTACGCCAAGACTTGCTCTTACGCTAAGACTTGCTCCTACGCCAAGAATTGTTCCTACGTCATCATAGTCTTCCCAAGATCCCATCCTCTGCCTCCTACCAGTTACGATCATTTGTGGACAAACTTATTGCAACAGCCAACTTTTCCAGTAAAGTAAACTTTGCAAAGCTCATTATTGGCAAATATTATGGGTAAATTATCACAGCTTACAATTTTCAGTCAATTGTCATCTAGGTTAAATACCAACTTCTTAGCTATTTTTTGGTCTGAGTAAAAACTCACTGCAAAATTACAATGAGGTGAAAAAAACGATGGAAATTTCTGTACGCAGAATTCCAGTTAAAAGAGAATTGAACTTCTTGCCACAAGTTTCTTCAACAAGTTATTCAAGTTGATTAATCGCACACTGTTTGTATTCCTTGAGATTGATTAAATGTTCTTCTGTGGGGTACCTATCTAAATTATGCACAAATGATTGTTAACAATAATAGGTCACTGCTAACAATTAGATAAAAATTAAAACTTCTGTGTTACATCAAAGGAGCAAATCAGTTCCGATTTCAATGAATTGTTTTTTCAACAACCCCCACATCCAACCGAGTGAATCAACTGGAATCTCGAGGAAAATTGTTTCACCGTTTCAGTTGATGTCCTTGCAAGTGGATGGAAATATGGAGGCCATCATCGGGCAAAAATTAACAATGCTGCGATTGAGAGAGCATGCAGGCCGCGCCGACACCGCGGCGCCACTCAAGGTCAACGGAAAGGAAAGCTGGCGAAGGCGGAAATCATATCCACAGAGCTTTAGCCCTTTTACTTTACTGATACGATTAAATTCGAGGAAGAAACAATCCAAAGATCAAATAGAGCTTTCAACATGTTAAAAGCAAACAGCCTAAAACTCCGAGCTCTAATTAGATTGTTTTCGTTCCTCAAACGAAAATAATACATGGGGATGCTTTTTAGGTTCAAAGGTCACTGAGTATAATTTGCCACTTACTTTTACCTTAATTGTATGACAAATAAGTAAATAAGATTGCTTCATACCTGGCACACTCAAGTAGGAACAGTTCTAAAAGTTGCACTGCTTCATCCACGGCGTGAGCTGCAAAGCTTCTATGGTCGTTGGTTCCAGAGGTTATGCAACTGCCAGATCCTCCTGATAATTAAAAAAAAATTTGACCTGAAGAGATACCAATATCTACTGATGAAACTAAATCCTTCAGTTTGAGATAATTTGATGTCCGCTACACGACGTCAACATCGATAACTCCTCAACTTTCATCCCCTTGTCATTCACTCCAAGTTTCTCTAGACCCTTGCTTAATCCTACACTTTCATACCTCAGTCACCATTCAGCCCATTCAATCCCGTGACATCATTCAATCCGTGAGTAATTATGTTAGACACAGTTAATAACCAGGCAGAAACTATAATTACCTTTGATTGTATATCCCGGCGAACATGGATAATCTTGGCGCTTGCGCGTGAGGTACGGGCGATGTTGCTGACCGAAGGGGAAGTCACACACGATGGCGTCGATACTGCCATCTAGTAGTGGTAATGCTGCCAAAAATGGAGAACATATTCAGATCATTAATGCTAAAAAAGAAAAGGTCATAAAATTGTCCCATTGTGTAGGGACAATTTTCATCAAGTAATTTCAAGGCTGAGTCCGTAACAGACTAAAAAAAAGTACAGCAGCACGAAACAAAATGAACCTCTGCTAGGTGCAGGATCAAACGCCGGGCGCATTGAAAATAATGGAACTGACGTGTGCAACGGCCGTAAAGCTGACATTCAATTTATACTCTTATTTCACAAAGGATCTAAAAGAAATTTTCAGATCCAGTAAAGTATTCGGAATGCAGTAAGCAACTAAAATAAATGCAAATAAAGGGCAGATAACACTAATTTGTGAATAAAGTACAATTTAGATTTAAAATAAGAATATGCATAGGAATTACGAGTCAATAAGCCAGAAAATAATTCCATATTGTATACATATTTGACGGAGCAAAGAAAATGAAGTACTGTCCTGTGAGACGAAAGAATGTACGGTAATGTTCCAAGCTGACCAAGACAAGAGCTACAACATCAAGGGATGCTAAACAGAAACCTGATGACTCTACTAATATTATTAAGTGGAGGAAACCATTTTCCATTAAGGAGAAATTATTCAAGTTTCATACAAAGCACTTGGCATTTTGCACAAAGGGTTTAGTTCTAATAAGAACGAAAGCACAAGGTACTGAAAACACAAAGGTTCTCTCGCGTGGCTCGGGAATTGCGATGCAAGCATTATTGCGTGGCAATGAAGGAGCATTCAAGCTACTTGATATTGAATGATAAATTAGATACAAAGACTAGTAGCGCTTTGTCTCGCTAGTTATGCACCGCTACTCAAAAGTAGTTCTTCATTATGGTCGAAGCATTTAGGGGACATGTACTTCGTTAGCGGCATGCGCAGCCAATTGCCACCAAGAAGAGACAGGCAAGCCACCAAGAAGAGAAAATCGTTCATGGAGTCATGGGAACAAAGCCCCAGCACCAGCATGAGAGGGAGCGCAAGGAGCCCTACCTACATTAGCAACAATGACCATGAGAAAGGACAGCACAACCTGAATTGATTTCTTGCAAACGATACAGAATGTCCATAAGCCATGTTCCATTGTCTCTTGCATTATGAATGCATTCAAAAATGGCGATGATTGAAGAGCTAAGGAAATTGGGTTTGGAAAGTAGTGGAATGATGAATAGTTTTAATTAGTTATCTCCCTATATTTTCAATAGAATTTGCTACAATTTAATGTGTCGATATTAATAGGCGATATGAACATTGATGCATGAAAGCAAGTCGTATATATAAAGGAGCCTGTAATTAACTATTACCGGCAGCATCAGCTGTGAAGAGCGAGTAGCTGCTCGCAGGCGGGATGCCATGCAAGTTGCAGGTGGCAACCTCGAGCTGACTTCTTGATACGTCACAGCCAATCACGTGACGAACCTGAAAAAACAAACTCTGAGTAACTACAACGCCACATATAACGCTCAACACCAAGATACACCAAGAAGTTGTCATGTAAAGAAAGGCCTGAACATTTCCTACATTGCAGAATTAGACACCCTTATAATGACAAAAATATTAGGAACAAATTGACCCATTTTAGTAAGACTTTCCCATTATGAAAAAATGCATATTAGTCAATACAATATTGATGTTGATTAAATTTACAAAAATAGGGTATGTCTTATCACATAATAGCTAATGAGAAATGTTAGATCATAATAAACCACCAAAAAGATTTCCAAGATTTCAATAGTTTTGAATCTTCCTTAAGAAACCAACTTTGAATTCATTTTGAAATGAGGCAAGCAAAAAATCCTAAATCATTTTGCTAGAATTGAAGCAGGCAGTACCTTACCCTGTAGCTATGTGCAGCTTCTGCAAGTATTGTCCCATGCCCACACATTGGATCCAAGAGAGAGTAATAGTCTCGAGCTTCAGAAGGTGATTTTGCCTTGGGTGTCTCTTTTTCATCTTGATTGTCCATTAGTGCAGTTGAGCAAGGATTTTGACTAGATGTGCAGGACTGGCTGCTGGAATGCTGCACTGAAGTAGGCATTACTAGAGCTAAGCTCAGCATCAAGCAACACACAGTTGTTCGCAGGCCAATGTGAGGAATGTAGCAACGGAGAGATACAGTGTGGCGGCTCAATGCAATGCCTGTCATGATAACAAGAGGCGATCATTGTCTTGATTTTCATTAGTTTCACAAAAAAGGCAGAAATGTAACTGTAATCAATCAACAGTTTATAGTTAGATGTAGTGTTACATGGATCCAAGTCAAAGATGATGCTAAGTGATTAAGATGCCAGACACATCTATAGGCTCAAATGATGTGAAAGGGCATGATCTTCAAGTCATATAATTGGACTGAATGGAAATTTATAAACAAAATTGCCTAATTGTTGACTGCAAAACCAAAAGTAGAAAAATTCTGTAATGCACTCCTTCAAGCAAAACATGATCTAATTCCAGGGCAATTCAAGTCAATAATTAACATACCTAAAATAACATGCAGATCGGTAATATTGAAGTACACATCAACATTAGGCTGGTTCCAGTTGAGATGCCAGCAATCAGTTTGCTGCAGAACTGACTTAATCACAGCTGATAAAACTACTCCTTGGATGTTTTTCTTGTCAATTGTGGCATTGCTTGATGCATCCATGGTGGACGAGGAAGACTCAAATGTGTTCTTTCCAGAAGACAAAATCTTTTCTCCTGGAGGCGCATCATGATCAGATGTGCCATCAGGAGGATATTGGAGAGGAAAATTTTTGGGGAAGCTAGATGAAAGCCTACAAGAAATCTCAGAACTTTGCAACTGCAAATCAGAACAAGTATGTATGTTTCTTGAAGAAATGCCAGGACACTCAAATTGGTCTTTTTCTGAATCTGTTTCATGTGAATGTTCTATATCAGGGTCATTGGAAGTCCTCTTTCTTTTAAAACAACATGAGGAATGATCCATATTAGTGTAGGGAATAAATTGCACATTAATTTTGCCAGCAGCATTACAACCATGAGACAAATCAACAGCTCTTTTGGAATCATCACTCGTGTGGCAAGTTATTCTGGCATCATATTCAGCATCATTAAGAACTAGCAAATTTGTTTCATCAGTAAATTGTTGTACAGGCAAATGCTGCTGTTTTTTAAAGGATATTGCATGACACTTTTTTTCATCTATGTCATTTCTGCAATTTCTAAAATGCACAAGTTTTTTCCACCTTCCAGTTAGTCGACATGACACTCTGAACTCAATGAAATTGTTAATGTTGCTCTCACCATTTCCGGCATTTTCAGTTATTCTCAAAGACTTTTTATCCTTTGAGGAGCAGGATGGAATAAGTTCAGCACTGGGTTCTTCTACATCAGTAGTAGCTATGTGTTTCTTTATACTGTCTGTGGAGGGAGAAAGTATGTTGGATTTGATTGATAATATACTACCATTATTGGGCAATAAGATTGTGGATTTAGCTTTGGTTTGGTGATCAGTGATAGGGCAATCACAATGCAGATCTTTGACAAAAGTTTCCAGGGGGGTTTCGCAATTTTTACAACAGCAGGAAGTTGGTTTAAACTTTGGTTGCAACTTCAATAAAAGTTTTACCTGGTCTGTGATTTCCTTCCAGTTGACAGATGCACAAATTTCACTAATCAAGTCCTCACCTGCAAAACACAATAATGAATGGTACTTTGTTGATATTGAATTACTAAAGAAATCACAAGTGGTCAAACTCAGTAAATGATAAAATCTTGAATATACGTAGTTATTCAATTCACAATGATAATGTGCAATAATTTGTGTAATTACACACCTTTTACATATTATCACATTAGAATAATGTTTGTCTCTGTTTAAAATTTACCAGTAAGTGAACAATTAATTCTTGCATTCCTTACAGCTGCATCTTGCAAAAAATCAATGCACAAAAATATGGTACAAAAAAAAATGTCATAGTAGACCTATAGGCTCTTTCCTGCAGGAAAATTTGTTCAAAATGAAGTGAAATTAAACAAATAGTTTGTTGACTATCTTGGGAAAAACTCTATGCTAACTTTTAAATGAAAATTCATACATCAAGGGGGCTTGAAATGTTTGCCCGTGGATAAAAAACCAATTCTTGACAGAATATTTTTTAAAATTGGATGGTGCCAGCCACCAGACAAAGATAAAAAATGTGCTTTTGACGTTGGAGTCAGAAGGTAAAAATCCATAATTTGGCCCAATTAAACTGAATTTTTCTGAATTTTGAAGGTCAATTTTTATTTTTTAATCATTCTAAACAATGCACCCAAAATGATAATTTGATAGAAAACAAGAAGATGATGTCAAAAAAACTAAATGGTAATATTAGAAGGTCAATAAATATCAAATTGGTGCAGGGATGAAGTCATGAGGCAGGGACCTTGCGTTTCTTTGCGACTTGCAAGATAAATGTTATCTCATTAGGAATGATATCAGTGCAGATCTCAAGAAATAGCATGTAATTAGAGCATTTATCAATTTTTTACCTAAATTTAGTTGTACTGCACATTACATATAAATGGCAAATAGTATGAAAACATTCCACCTGGTAATTCAATAAACAATTCAGAACCTTGAAGATCCATTAGTTTAGAAAGGCTGCTCAAAGCCTGTTGTCAAGCATATCTTGATTTATTGTATTTTACAGGTCCGAATGAATCAATAAGTACCGTCAACCGGGGCTACTCGGGACTGGCGGGGCTACTCGGGACTGGCGGGGCTACTCGGGACAGTCCTCTGACATGGCGTAAAACTGTTATAGTAGCAAAACTAATTGGAACATTGCAAAACTAAATATAGTGGCATAAACGTCAACATTTTTCCTATCTATGTAGTATAAAGGAAGTCAAAAAATACTACATTTACTAGCTTTGAAAAATTCCTGAAAAAATGGTGAAAAACGCTATTTTGAAAAGTTACTTCTGCTAAGGTCTGTAGCAAAAAAATTTGCCGTATTAAAAATTTTTACTTACATAAAAGATGCACCCAGGTGTCGGCTTTAAAACGTAATTGATGGAATTGTCCTATCTCATTCCAAAAGAAATGGCGGCCATTTCTGTACGGCAGGGCTACTCGGGACACCCCCCCCCCCCGGGGCTATTTGGGACACCCCCCCGGGGCTATTCAGGAACCCCCAAAAACGTATTGTCAGTAGAACCTCAGTTAGCAAAGGCTCCAGTTAAGAAAAAAATTGATTAAAAACAAAGAATCTTTATTACATTTACCTTGCTCAGCGAAAAAATTTCACTTATCAAAAAATTAGTGCATCATTGGTCATCACAAAATTGTGCATGGAATGTCATATATAGAATTGTGCACCAGGCATCATAGAATGAAAAGTAATTGACCTAAGCTATGATTTATTTCTCCAAAACATATGATAGTTGTTACTAAAACATTCCTTTCTGTTTCGGGTATGTTTTTCATGATTTTTTTCAGTGTAAATTCATGTAACGTAATTAAAATGGTGTGAAATTACAAGCCGTCCTGTAAGCTTACAGATACAGAAAAAAAGCTAGAATGCTGCTGATATGAAGCTTGCAGTGGGCAAAATTGTTGTAAATACTCAATGGCATGTTCATGGATACAGTAATATTGCATAAATAATACGATAATGTCACATCAATAATACGGTAATTAATGTATATGGTAATATCATATCAATAAAGGAAAAACAAGTAAAAATCACAGAAAATGTCATTTATTCTACCTATACATCATCTACAATGAAAGAGGAGGACTTCAGAGTACTGTTAGTAATGGATGAGTACGCTCTGCATGCTTCAAATGTTTTAAATTGAAGTTTTATTCCAAGTGTCCCGAGTAGCCCCGTTTGACGGGGCTACTCGGGACACTTTTTTTTTGCTTCTGGCACCTTACGAATAGAATATGGAATTTTTTGACAATGCCATTCGATAGCCCTTGCAAAGAGCTATAAAATGAGCCTAAACTTGTTTATGAAATGTTTCATCGTAAGAAGTTATTAACTGTTATTAACAAATAAGCACTCAAAACTGTCCCAAGTAGCCCCGGTTGATGGTAATTTTTTTGTGTGTGTTTGGTAACAACTATGCAACTCAAGCAATTCATCATTACCAAACATGGAAAAGACACACAGGATTCTTGTCTGGCTATCCAGTACAGTAAGAATAAGTTCACAATTTTGAACGTTTTCAGGAACAAAGAATTTTTGACAGCCACTGATTTTGGAAAAGAAGTGGCACTGATATAAAGGCACAGTATATGAAAATATATATTTGCAAGTCAGATAATGGAGAAAGTTTAATATCAGCCTAACATAAAATAATAATAAACATAAAAAATATCAAATAAGCCTATAAACTAAACGCTATATATATATGAACAAAGACTTTTTTCCAGTGATAAAGTACCAGAAATATGAAGTTAAATCTTCTAAGATGCACATCTTCAGGGCTGTGAACAAAACCAAATATGGTATTGTAAAATTCATTTGTTTCTTGATTCAATTTCAACCAGAATTTTGGAACAAGTTGTAGTTGAAAACAAAAGTACAGTACCGTATATATACCAATACCTTAGTATTCAGCAGGGCAATATTAAAATGGTGGGGAATTATGAGACAACATATACCTAGTGATGAACATGCAATGATAATTTCCATTTCTTATAGTTTATTTCAACAGTTAAGGAATTACTATAAGAAATTATAGTAATTTAGGCTTAACTATTGAGGCTTCATAAAAGAGTGACAACAGATGAGTATAGATTTAATTCAACCAATACATATAATTAATTTCAGATATCTTCACAGGTTCTACAATCAAAGGTCTGTGCAACAGTCTCAATTATTCATGAGCTAAAGAATAAATTTCTAAATAATAAAGATATTAGATAGTAATTTGTTAATTTAAATTTGTATGCCTAAATTTGAGTGTAAATTTTTTTGCATGATGGTATTTAATAACTTACTCAAGTGCAATATTGAAATTTTGAAAAATACATAGGAGTAAATATATTTTATAAATGTTAAAACATTCTTGCACTGGTTTTAGGAATTTCATTATTTGCACATTTATATGCTCACCTGCAAAAGGGCTTATGAATAAATTTCAGCCTATAGTTACAATATACACACTTACCTAAAATTAAATCTGATCTAATGCTTAGTGCATCGAACTTCTTGTAATGCAAAAGCAGGAAAATTCTTTCAATAAGTTTCAATTGAAAAAGTTTGGAGAACTGCCCCTTAAAAAAATCAAGATTCACTGCTGGACTTTCTAAACCATTGCAATTCTTCCCAACAGATATGCTGAAACGAATTTTGCCTTCACTGATAATTTCAACATTTGATGCATTCGGAAGTGTTGAAAAAATCTCTTCTGTTACAAAACACTCAAAGCCTCGCCCACAAGTAACAAGGAAACAATACATTTTGAGCCACCTTGAAAATTACGTTAACTTAATTTTCAACCTGATTGAAAAAGAGGGTTATGGATTCATCATTTTATTGCAAAGCTTCATATTCAGTGTGTACCTCACAACTAAAACAGAATGCACATATGACACAACTTAATTTGGTTCTCTTTTACTTGGAATTGGGTACCTCTGGTCTCAACCTATAAATCGGTAATACACACTGAATAAAAGCTCTTTTACTGGCATAAAAAAAATCAAAAGTTCATGTCACACTCGTAAGTCAACAAAAAGCACCAGCATAAACTGGTGCTTGAATTCCTCTCAACAGGGGAGGAGCTCTCATCTTTTGCCAACATTACTTTGACGGTGTCCTGTGTATACAAAAAAACAAAGGTTAGATTTTTGATTGACACAGGTAGTCAGAAGTTGTACGTTACTAACCGGGTGTGGAATAAGCTAAGTGTGCCTCAGGATAGGACTAAAAAAGACTTTGTAATCAATACTTTTCTTCAGTGTGGGGTTAGACAGTTCTCAGAAATTAGTTTGCTTTTTGATTTAGAAGAAGCCAGAGATCATGTTAAGCTCTCTATTCTTGTCAGTGATGAGTTCAGGTTGACCTTTGCTATGAAGGGCCATGCTTAGGGTTGGTTAGTGAGAAAATTTTTCAGATTGCACCTCTAGTTGATAGTTCTTTCACCAACAGTAGCAACACAGTAGAACTGGAGGGTTTAATTTGGAATAGATGTATTGCAGTTCTTGAAAGATTTCCATGCAGGCAAGTTCCTTGCTTATGAAGCAATGTGTTTTCTTTGGCAGGTAAACTTATTCCCTTTGATGATGTAGAGAATTTCTTAACATCAAGTCAGTTTGCTTCACTTAGCAAGGCTTCAAGTGCAGGGTAGATCATTCAGTATCCTCCTCATTGGTCAATTTTATTTAGATCCTGTTTTAACATGCTGAGATCCTATTTCTAGTATAGCCAAAGACAGTGAAATTGAGGGCCACTTGGACAATCTGTTTAAATTGCCAATTCAGATGCTTCTCACCTTGACCATTTTGAGAAGTCTTTGGTTCTGAAATATGGTAAGTATTTTATCGAAATACCCTGATTACCTGACAAAATTGCTGTGTAAAACCTAACTTTGAAGTTGCTAAGACTAATACTTGGGAGAGTGATAGAGCAGTTTAACAAGACCGGTATGCCCGAGGCCTATGGTGAGGTATTTGCGAAGCAGCTTGCAACTGCTGCTAGATGAAATTGATGTGAAATGATCCTATTTGGATTCCTCACTGACCGGTTGTTTGAAAGGAGTTTCAAGTCACCACCAAGATTAGACCTATATTAAATTGCAGTAGGTATTAAAATTGGGGAATTGCCATTTCTGAATGAGGCAGCATTTCCAGTTTTAGACCTATTAAATAAACTTTTTGGATTACTCCTTAACATCAGATCAAATGATTACCTAGTTATGTCCAACATCAAATTGGCATTTCTAATGATTAAACTTAAGGAGGTTGATTGCAACTGCTTTTCCATTTTGTGGAGAGATTCCAAGAACAATCTCAAAGCATACCAATACACTTCCCTGGTTTTCAGTTTGTCTTGTTTGCCATTTGTTGTAAATGTTACCTACAACTTGGGTAAAGTTTGAGACAATGCAAGAATCAAATGACAAAATAAATGATTTTAAAAATTAAAAAAATTTTCAATATTAAAAAAATTGAAAAAATAATTTTGTCAGCTACATATCTTATAACTGATATGACACACTTTTACCTGTCCAATTGATCTGAATTTTTGCACACTAACGTGAAGTCGGAGGCAATACATGAATCAATTTAACAGAATAAATAATTTTGAAAAAAAAAAATTTATATAGTATAAAAAAATTGAAAAATTAATTTTTTAATATTCAAAAATAAAATGACAAATTCATTGTACATCTTCAAAATTGGAGACACTGGATTCTTTAGAATATTGTCTTTAAAAAGTCATTTTTAAACATATATTATTTATAATTAGTTTTAGAGGCTTCTACTGCTTGTGCACTGCCCAGCCTGATCTCTGTCACAGGTTTGTGAGTAAAATATGTTCCATGCAGGAGGGCTCGCTGCCTTAAAAGATACTTGCTGCATGCACACAGTGTACAATGGCTCTTTGGTCATGCAGTAAAGTTAGGAACTTGTATGTAATACATGGGACATGCCACATTATAACAAACATAACAAAACTTTTTGCTAGATTGTTATGACAAAGTATTGTAACGGCTTGCTAAATTACATAAACATGATCAAGGAGTATTATAGGATAGATATTAAGAAGAACATGCAAGGAAAAGCACCCCAATATTACATGTAGAACACATAAGAAAAATAGCTCCCCAAAATTATGAGTTCTTTGACTTTAGGGTGCAGGTATCCCAAGCTTTGAGTTATAGTGGTGCAACAACTCCACATGCCAGCAAATAATGATGCTGGCATTAGAAGATCTGGGAATGCTGTTTGCTGGTAACATCTACTGGCTCACCTAAGGATGCTAAGGAACCACTTCATTACCAAAAACTCCACTGTGACCCTCCACCCAGCAGAAGGCAACAGAGTTCAGCCCTCTCTGAAGAAGAAGCGCATGAATTTTTAACACAATTGTGGCATAGGTAGGATGGCAGGTGTTGAGGATCAGGTGCAGGAATGACTTTGAGACTGAGTTTGAGTCAGTGAGGGTTACAACATGTCTATGTTGTAGCTTAACTCAATTGAGTGCCATCTCCAGTGCCTTGTATTTGGTAAACAATTCTGCATCCATTACTGAATGGTTTGGTCACAACAGCCAGCCAGTTGCCACTGAAAGCAGGGGGATGTAGACACCCGCTGAGAGCCTGAGACCATCCTGGCCTCAGAATGAGATCCATCAGCGTAGATTGGGATGTGTTCAGAATAAAATTGGTCCATCCTGTATGCTAATATAGTTGAGAAGGAGTTATAATAATGATGCAAGGCCAAACCACCACTGGGATCAAGACATCTGATTATGCAAGGAGATCCAGGGAGAAATTGGAGAAAAAGCAGGGGTCCTCACTTGGCGAGGCACCACAATTCCCATGGACTGATACAAATAGCAAGCATGCTTTGCAAATGGATGCAGGTTGTTATTCCAGGCACTAATGGGGTCAAATTCCCAGAAGACCAGGCAACATTGCTGGTATTGGAGAATATGTATAGCTAAGGCACCATTTCATAAATAGGAAGTGGAAACGAAGATGGAGCGGGGGTAAAAAGCTTTCATCCTGTAGGGACAGAATTGGGGAAGTGCAACAAGCTCCCGGGATCAGCCCAGATTCATTGCTAGGGGATGGCAGCTCACCAATGACACTGCTGCCATAGTACTCAAGTTTACTTCAAATAAATGCAACATAGATTCTCCTTAGTAGGTGAATTGATGCACCTCACCTCAGAGCACTCAATGCCCAAAGGACATTCAATCTTTTTGACAATCTGCCTGCACTGGAGAGACATGGACCCCAAAATTCAATCTGGGGCAATCAAATATCACCCCTAATACATGGGTTTCTTATGAGAATGCAATGGGTCTACCATTTATTTGGATGACTATATGAGGGGAAGTCTGACTCCTGGAGTATGTTTGGTATGAGCACTTTTATGGGTTAAGGATACAGTACCATTTGTTGCACAAGCAGAAAACTCTGTGAAGTACTTTTGCATGTTCAGCTGAGATGCCTGCAGTGAGGCTGCTGAAGTGACCAATGTCAATTCATCTGCATAGCCAATCAGGCACAGGACAGTGGAGGTGGGAATATAAGAGAGCATGACGTTAAACAGGGTACCGTAAAAGGGGGTAGCTTAGACTCCCGGGGTAACTTGGACCACTTTTAGTTTTTTTCAACAAAAAACCCCCAAAACTCAAAAACTATTTGACATAGAAAAATGTTGTCAATGGGCATTAAAGGCCTAATACTGAGGCTACATAACACAATAGAAAGATAAAAAAATTATTCATATCTAATAGGTTAAAAAATGAAAAATGTGACCCACAAAAAAGAGCTATTATTCAAAGCCTGTCATAGAACCCCCTCCAATTTTTTTTATTTTTAGATAAAATAACTATAGGTTTTGGTGCATTGTAGTAGAACTCTTCTAGTTACATGAGCAAATGACAAATTTGAGGAAAGTGTCATAGTTTGCAAATGGGCAGCACTGCCCCCAAATGGGGAAACTTAGATTACCTAATGTCAGCCCTGACAGGGTAACATAGACCGGCTTGGAAATTAATTTAAAATTACCATATATAACATTTTATGTTTGATACACCTATCAATGTTTTTTCTTTATGATTCAGACTCTACAGAGTCTTATATATGACAATTTTAACTTAATTTCCAAGCCAGTCACTATTACCCTTCATGGATGACATTAGGTGATCCAAGTTCCCACATTCAGAGGTGGCACCCCCCATTTGCAAACTATGACACTTACCTCAATTTTGTCATTTGCATATGTAACAAGAAGAGTTCTACTACAATGCACCAAAACCGTAAGTTATTTTACCAAAAAATATAATTGATTTTACCACCCAGTCTAAGATACCTCAAGAGCTGGGGTAACGAAAATCCATCACTTTTTTAAAATTACATCAAAACTATGAGAGGCAGGAGACCGCAAATTATGGTGAGTGAACCTAGAGTATTGACCTGTATTTTGCATGTTTCCATTCAAGTTTAATTTAGCTAGTAAAAAAATGGCATCATTAAAAAAAAGTAGTCTAAGTTACTCCATTTTATGGTAGGGGATAATACCGCATCCTGAGGGACACTGATTAGTATTTAGTATGGGCCTGGGGTTTGATAGTTTGGCTCCCACTCTGACCCTTGACCCTAGGTATCTGCTGAGCCATATTAGAAGCTGGTTTGAGATATTAAGTTTACCCTACTTATATGTCAGGCCCTGTTGCAGGACACTGTCAAATGCTGCCTGGAGATCCAGGAAGACAACCACACTGAATTGACATTGTTCTACTGATCTCCTTATGTCGTTCCTCAGTATATGCAATGCGTCCAGAGGGCTAGGCCCCTTTGGAATCCAAAGCTTAAGGATGGTAGCAGGTTGTTGGTCTCAAGATGGTAT